CCTTTGAATTTAGTAGTAACACTACTGAGTTGACACGAGTGTTGGTGAATTTACTTAACTTTGACAGTTTTTACACTGCTATGGTTTTGCTTCAAAGTTACATCAATTCTTGTAAAAATGGTGAATTGATTTTGTCAGTGGGCTGTGAGAATTAAAGGAAAATGACCTTTTGGTATTTAATTAGTTACTGAAAAACGTTTACCTGAAAAGCTACTTTTCTACCATAAATTTTCTGACATCTAAATATATACGTTATGAAAATGTAATGTCTATATTAAGATGTGTTGTAAATATAAGAATACAACAGATTTTGAAGACTCAGAATGAAAACGTAAAATGTCATTCGTTATTTTTATATTTTTTAAAATTTGTTGTCATTGTTGAAAACATACACAGCAAATCATACACCATGTCACCACTTTGTAAGTGTATGATTCAGTAAACAGATGCCATTCTTGAAGTTGTGCAATAATTCTCTCCCTCCTTTTCCGAGTTGTTCCTCCCCCACTAACAAAAACTATCTAATCTAATTTTCTGAATTGTTATTATCAATATGATCCCATATGATGTTGTTAAAAGAGCCTAATGTTCATTCTTTACTAGTGAAGTTAAATTACTATCTGATTTTCGGATGATACCAGGGGTGTAAGGTTTAAAGATAGATTATCTCAGGGCAATAGATTAGCTTCAGGGGTACACCTAGTTCCACTGTTCCAAAAAATCTAGATTCCGTGGGGACATGAAATTCTGTTCTGTTTTCTCCCTTTGATCAGAAAGTTATTTTTTATATTGATAACACTTCAAAGTAAAAAGAATGTGGATTTATTGGGTTCAATGAAATACACTGCAAAGTCTCTGCATTTCTCAAAAATGTGGCTCCTGGGAAGCAACCTGACAGCAACTATAATAAAACTGGGAAATTGAAAATGCCACATAGCTGTAGCTTTCTGTGTCTGTTGGATAGTTGTGCTCTGTGTGATGATCTTTGTTTGGAGGTCATGTGGTCTACACAGAGCCAACACCAGTTTCTGAAAGAAGCCCTGCACATTTGTTCTATTTCTTTATCAGCAATTGCAAAGAACAAATTATTCAATAGGTCTATAAGGAAGAAACATCCACAAGAGAAAAAGGAGGCCTCCAACCTGGATCAGGGCAGAAAGGGCCTTCATGGTTCTGCAACTAAGGCTTTGGTGCCTTGATGAACTTCTGAAACTTGCTCTACAGGGTCTTCGAGGCTCTGGGTATCTCCTTGATGGATGCTTGGTCATACTGCCTATGGATCCAGTTGTACTGATTAGAACCACCCAGGCTCAACACTAACTTCTGTGGTCATGAGTATCTTGGTTGTCCTCTGAGAGCCACCGTTTGTCTTGCTAAAATGAGAGATGTCTTATTTTTAACTCTCCGGAGTCCTTTCAAACCATGCAAATTATGGAAGACATACAAAGTGACAAAGGGAATCATCTCCTGGTATTACCATAGAGGACATGTGAGAGAATGAGGGAACTTTATAAGGATGACAGGTGACCCTGGCCTGCGTACATTACATCACTACTGACAAAACACCATGACAGATCATGTTACATTCCACTTAGAGATCATGACCATGTATTATCACCACTGCCCTCTTTTTACAGATGGGACACAAACTCAGAATGGCTAAGTGTCCATGCTTCCAGAGGTCTAGATACCTAACTTAGACCCAGCTGTGACTTCAGGTTGTAACTTTAAGCTATTGTAGCTATGAAGTATACCAATAATGGAACACTTTATTTATCATTTCGCAGTATTTTCTTTCTATTTATAAAAGCAAAACTTCTATCTACTCTTACCTTTAGAGGAAAAAACCTCATAGTAGAAAAGACTAAATACAAGTTTTACACATATTTCTAAAAGAATAATCTGGATAAACAATCAGGTTAACCCCATATTTTCAACTCTACATCCACTTTTGATGAAATCACTTTTTGCATCCTAGTATGTAATAAGATGATTTCTGAAAGCCTCACTCTCTTGTAGGAGTAACTGATGAATCACCAAAATGGATCCTAGAGCGGAGTAGGTACATAAATTATTGGGATCAAAGAGTCTAAGCAAAAACGTGATGATGGTATTAACACTTAACTATGAAAAGGAATTAAGTACCAAGATAAATGCTATTAACACTTAACCTAGTCAAACATGTAGAGGCTAAGAAGAAATGTTAGTGAGAAAAGAACATTTTGTATTGAGTCCTCTCTCCCAGAGTCTTCTTACCTAAATAACCTATTTATTGAATCGGGCTGCTAATCTCAAGGTCAGCAGTTCAAAACTACCAGCGGTTCCGCGGGAGAAAGATGAGGCTTTCTGCTCCCATAAAGATTTACAGCCTCGGAAACCCTGTACATGGTCGCCATGAGTCGGAACCGACTCCACGGCACACTACCACCACCACTACATGTCCACCAGTCAGGATGAAAGAACACTGGAACCTTACTATAGCCCTAATTTTAGGGATCATATCCAGTACTTACCTACTGAAATGGTAGCAATTATAGCAGTAAAAATAGCAAGCATGATATTAAGATGAGCAATCACTTATATGATATGAACTATAAGAGAAGCACTATTAATTATAGAAATCTGTTACTATGAGGAGGCTTAAAAAGTTCATGGAATAAATAGAATTAAAAGGTAATGGAATTTTCCCACACACTTTTTGATGCCCCCTCATATTATTTCTCCTCATTTTACAGAAAGAAACTAAGGCAAAGAGTCAAATACTCACTATATACCAGGTCACTGTAAAACATGATTTACACACATCACTTTATTTATTAATCTTCACAACCTCCTTATAAGGGACACACTGACACTTAGCAGTGCTGAGGAAATTTGCTCAAGTTAATTAAAGATCTGGAGCTAAAACCCAATCCCTGTATAATACTAGCTCCTTCCACTGTATGATATAGTTCTTTATGGTAACTAGCCATAACCCAACAGCGCCAAGATGAGCAATACAGTTATACTGATTTCTGAAGGGACACCTAACTGCTGTGACGTTCGGCTGTCCTTGCTCAGAAGTAGCTGGAAGGTCATTTCTTCCAACTGTCTTTGCAGACTGATATTGAAATACAAAAGCCTGATCCTCTTGTCTCAAAATATGACAACTCTAAGATACCTGTTGAGTCCTGGTGTGGCACTGTGTATGAATTTGCTGGACTGCAAAATCGGTTTAGACAAGTCAGTGGCAGTTCAAACTCACCAGCTGCTCCTGTTGTTGTTGTTGTTGTTAGGTGCCATCGAGTTGGTACTGACTCATAGCGACCTTATGTACAGCAGAATGAAACACTGCCCGATCCTGGGCCAACCTCATTATTGTTGCCACACTTGAGCCCATTGATGCTGCCACTTTGCCAATCCATTTCGCTGGGGGTCTTCCTCTTTTTCTCTGACCCTCCACCCAACCAAACATGATATCCTTCTCCAGCGACTGGTCCCTTCTGACAATATGTCCAAAGTATGAGAGATCAAGTTTGGCCATCCTGGCCTTCAAGGAGCACTCTGGCTGCACTTCTTCCAACACAGATCTGTTGGTTCTTTTGGCAGCTCATGGCACTTTCAATATTCTCTTCCAACACCATAACTCAAAAGTATCAATTCTTTCTTCTACAGTCTTCCTTATTCACTCTCCAGCTTTTGCATGCATATGAGGTTATTGAAAATACTATGGCGTGGGTCAGGTGCACCTTAGTCCTCAAGCTGACATCTTTGCTCTTCAACACTTTAAAAAGTTCTTGTGCAGCAGATTTGCCTAATGCAATACGTCGTTTGATTTCTTGACTGCTGCTTCCATGAGTGTTGATAGTTAAACCAAGAAGAATGAAATCCTTGACAACTTCAGTCTTTTTGAAGACCACTCGCCTGTCAGTTTGTCACCTGTGAGTTGCTGTGATTCTGGAAGCTATGCCACCAGTATTTTAAATACCAGCAGGGTCACCCATGTCGGACAGGTTTCAGATAAGCTTCCAGACTAAGACAGACTAAGAAGAAGGAGTGATGAACTACTTCTGAATATTTAGTCACTGAAAACCTTATGAATAGCAGAGAAAATGAGCTGCTCCTAGGAAACCCTAAACAGAGTTGCTGTGGGTTAGAACCAACTCAACAGCACTTAGCATCAACACTAGGTACCTGTTATGGAATGAATTGTGGTCCCTCCGAAAATGTGTTGAAATCTTAACCTCTGTACCTATAAATATGATCTTGTTTGGAAATATGGGGTTTCTTTCGTTATGTTAATTAGGCCATCCTAGAGTATGATGGATCCCAAACCTAGTCACTTCTGAGGTTTAAAAAGAGCAGAAGTGACACAGAGTGGGAAAGACAGATGCCAATGAACACCAAGGAATGCTAAAGATAGCTGGATTACACCCTGGTTTACACTAGGGACTAGGAGAGACACTCACAGGAGGAACTGATATGGCCAGGACCGCAATTTGGACTTGTATCCTCCTTTGTGGGGAAATACACATCTGTCCTTTAAAACTATTCACTGGTGCAGTATTTCTGTTAAGACAGTTCTAGGTAACTAAGACAGTACCCTTTACTCCAGAGCTCCTAAGAGTCCGGCTGAGGTGAGACCATAGCTAAAATCACCACTTTGCTGGCTTCTTTCCTTGCCCTGACCTCTTATAGGCTTCTCCTGAGAGCCCTCCCTCAGGAGGGCTCACAGACCCAAGAAATCCTATCTCAGGCTCTGCTTCAAGAGAGACTGACCTCTGAAGTTGACAGTTTGACCTCCTTTTAAAGCAATAGACAATACATTTGGGATTGCTATCAAAGTAGCTTAAAGGATTTTTTTGCCCTTAAAAATGTGTTTTCTCTTAAAAAGAATTTTATTTTTTTGCCCTTTAAAAGGAATTCCAGATTTTTAAGTTCTTCAGCATGAAAACCACAAACATTTATGTAAATAGCAAACAAACACTGACAAAGGGAGGTGTTAAATAAAGCACACTTACTTCACTAAAGAAGCTTTCCGGCACAGTTTGTCAGCCCCTCTGTAGTAGTTCACCAACTGCAGCAGCCCAGGCTCATGACCTATGAAGGAAAGAAGTGGCTCAGAAGGAAAATAGGAGGATGCCAGCACCAGCATGCAAAAGAGAAAACATCTCTGGTATGCCAGTTGTTCTTGCCCCCATTTCAGAACTAAATTAGAAATGCAACAGTTCTGTTATCCTGTCCCTGTGGTCCCCTGAGGCCCTCTTTTCTCTCAGCAATTCATACTCTCCCCACAGTGGATATTATAATATCAGCATTGTGGGTCTGTTAAAGACCACTGCTGCCTTTGTTTCTTCTTGTAAGGGCAGATCCCCACTAAACTCCTCCCTTCCAGATATCTGCATTCATAAATCCAGCTATGGAGTCCTGGTGTGGGGCTGTAGGATAAGCACTGGACTGCTAATCTCAAGGTTGGTAGTGCAACCCCACCAGCTGCTCCTTGAAAAAAACCCTAGACAGAGTCGCTATGAGTTGGAATTGACTAGTTGGCACTTAACAACAAATTCATGTAAGGACAACTAGTGATCTCTGGACTGCAAAGTCATTTCAATACTTTTCCATACCCTTAACCTGACTTTCTATATAGTTAAGGTAGGAAGTAGAAGAACTTTGATGATGCTACTCTTCTTAAGTATGTCTACCCCTCAAACAAGTTTCTAGGAGAGCCACCAGCAGAAGGGAGGTAGTGGAGAGGCCATGCCTTTTAAATCAGAAGCCCTGAGAACTTTCTTCTTGAATCAGCCCAAAGAGAAATTCATTTTCACTTGGTCCTATTGCACTCCCTTTCTTCTACCAAACTAGAAGAGAAAAGATACAAATAAACACAAAAGCCTCAGTTTTTGTTTAGAATCCTAACTAAATGCACTGCATTTTCCATAACAAAAATCAAACAAATGCCAAACTACGGAAATTTGAGTTGAAGATGCCAGAAATAAGAACAATTCATTTGAGAACAGCATACAGTAAAACTCAGGCACTAATTCTCACTGTCTCCTGGGGCAGAGGGACTTTACTCACACCTCAACTACCTGCCTTCCACAATGCATTTAGCAACGGGCAAAGTAAGAGACTCTTAACTCATAAGCGACCCTCCAGGGCAGAACAGAGCTGCCCCATAGGACTTCCAAGGCTGTCTATCTTTACTGAAGCAGATTGTCACAACTGTCTCTGAGCAGCTTGGGGGGGGGGGGGGGGGGGGGGGGAAATGGGTTCAAATCGTCAACCTTTCAACTAGCAGCCGAGCACTTCAATCACTGGGTCACCAGGGCTCCTCCTAAATGCATGTAAGTGAAAGGTCATTAATTAGCCCTAATGTTGCAGACATGCAACCTTTTTTTGCAGTGGGATTTCCCCACAATAACCAAACATTTACTGATTATCTACTGAATGTGTGGATGGTGGTGGTGGCTGTATGTCACTGAGTACGTTTGACCCAGCATAGGGTTTTTGAGGCTGTAAATCTTTACATCATTCTACCGCAGAACTGGTAGATTCTAATTACTGACATTGCAGTTAGCAGGCCAGCTCATAATTCACTATGCTAATATATGGATCTTTGCTTAGAATTTGGGCTCTATGGGTTTATTCTGCTCCTTATTCCAAGGCCAGAGCACCACAGCAATGCCAACAACCACCTGGCAGACTCATTTTTGTCTGTTTCTAATATTAGGATTCTGCTCAAGCTTTTACAGGGCCAAAGAGGAAGGTAAGCAAAGTCAGGGAGCAAAATGGACAGAGCAAGGAGAAAAGAAATGTTATCAACTCTCAGTTTTCCTTCTCCTTCTTTGAGCAACGTGGTCAGTGGTCACCTTTTTTCCCCCCTAGATAGCTTCATGAGGAGACAGTTTAACAAAAGGAACTCTCCAGGCAAAGGCACATTCTCTGTAATGGGACATTCCTACTGGGGTGGGGAATGGTGAATTAGCCTTTTCTTGGAGTCACCAAGATGCCTCAAAGAATTACCGAGGCCTATTTTCCTCCCTACAGGGTACACTTGTGTAACAATCAAAAGTTGCCCTCAGTTCCATTCCAAAAAGAAATTTCATGCCTCAATCCATTACAGATGGTCACAGCTCACATCTAAATGCTCTCTACATCCAAGGTCCAAATAGCCTGTTTTCAGTTTTAGGACCTTGAATATCTCCTTTCCTGGGCATAGAACATTTGCTCTCTTTGGGTTGCCTTCCAAAGCAGAGATGGCATCAACTCTCCTCTTCCTTGGTAGTGTAATTGGGCCCCCCACCCGTGCTGAAGTTTGGCAAGAAACATGGCTGGCTACTCAGAGTGAGGATGTAACTTCCCAGATGACTCTGCAGTGAGGTGAGCTCATGAGATTGCTCAGGTTTAGGAGATGTGAATTGAAGTATCCAGACAACTTCTGGATTACATCGTTGGTCCTCTTTTCTCTGGTGCCCTTCAGACAGTCTGGCATGTGGCTATGCTGGTGACTAGTTATCATACAAACAAAGATAACATCCTTGAAGAGAGCAAGGCAATGGGACTGACCGGCAGAGGGACAAACCCTGCCTCGTGAAAACCTGCATTCAACACACACCTGTGAAAATACATTATTTTGGTGAAGCTAAGGGTAGCTAAAATCACACAGCTTTCTCTTCACTCTTCCCTGGGTTAGGGTCACTTCTCAAGCTCCTGCTTTCGCCAGCCTTACATCTCTCTCCAAACTACTGACAGTTTCTCTGTCTTCAGTAGCTGGTTTTCAACACAACTAGTCGGCCCCTGGGATTTCCAGTATAGAAAAGCTGCAAATGTCTCCCGTCGGATCCCAGGGATGGGCTTTGCTGCTCTGCACTCTCTCCAGTTGACCTGCCCGATGTGGGGATGTCCGTCCGTCCGAGGGGCGAGGAAACATGCGGCCTCAGCTCCCCTGCTCCTGCGGCCGACGCCCCCTGGGCTGCAGGGACAGGCCATTGTCAAGAGGCAGCTGCGGCCTGAGTGGCCGCACCACGACCCCAGTCCCACATCTGACTTAGGAGAGAGAAGACATTGAAAACGATGCGTTTGGATCTTTATGGATCCATTTCTTATCAGCCCGCCACACGAAGATGATTTACGACCTTAAAAACAAAAGCTCTAGTTCTAACGGGTCGTGGGAGGAGTGGGAGGACCGCCTCTGGGGGCGGGGAACGGGAAATGGGGAAGGGCTCACCCAGTCTTCCAAAGGGCAGCCGGTTCCTCTCCCCCAGCATCAGGTTAAATCTGGGGTTGTCCCGCCGCAGCCTTTTCCAGTGACCGGTGGCGAGGAGCAGCCGGGAGACCTCGGCATAGACGCTGCTGTTCTCGTCGCGCACCACGAAGGTGTACATGGCGAAGGGTCGCGCGCCAGGCGCCCCGGGCCGCCACTGCAGGACCAGCTAGCTGGGGCGGCTGCTCAGCGTGGAACTTGCCTCTGCACCCGCTGCGTCCCGGCCTCCACCTTCCCCGCTGAGCCGGCCGAACCCAGTCCGTGCTGCGCCCCGACACCCGACCGCTTGGTGTCCAGGTGCTAGCCCTGCACCAGCTCCAGTAGCCCACGGGCCGCGCCTCCGCGCTGCCTAGCAGCGTGTCTCCAGTCCCCGCCGCGCCGAGCCTGAGCGCCCGCGCGTCGGCCCGAGTGGCAAGTGCTACCCGCACGCCGCGCCCACCGCCAGCGCGGCTCCGCCTCCGCCCCGTGATGCCGCGCGGCCCAGCCGGGCCGGGTGGGGGCGAAGGATTTGCGGGCCGCGCCCTCTGCGCGCTGGCTGTGCACACTGGGGACTGCCGAGGGTTTGGGGCTTAGTGCGGGTGGGCGGATTTTAGCCGCAGCATTTCGCGTCCTGGAGCTGAGATGGGTAGGGGCAGTGTTGATGGAAGGTCCTTTTTTTGCGGGGCTTCCTCCGGATCGTCTACTTACTATTGCAAAGGGACGTTTTGTGGGTAAAAATTTTTTTAAAGTTCTAAAGGCCCTATCCTGTGTCCAAGTGAAAATCCATTTCTCTTCTTTTCCTGCCGAACAATAACACATAACCGAAAGCTTTCTGGCAGCTGTGAATTTCATTTGGGTGGAGGGCTCCCTTCATCTGCTGAGACTCACTGGGGTGGCTTACGACCATGGGGTAACATGAGACTCCTCTGGTGGAAACAATTGGATACTGCCTGAAGACGCCCTAGATTTCCGCACTGCCTTTTACCTATGGGTGATGAGCCGCTCCCTTTCCTTTCTGTCGACCTCGATTTCCCCTTTCAAGTTGTGGGGGAGGAGCTCTTTTGAGTTCCATTGGTTCTGATATCGTACTTTAAATTGTTTTCAGGAAATGTTTTTTGAAGCATTTAAGGGAAAGAGAAACGACTATAGAAAGTTTCCTGTAAATATCCTACACCCTATAAATTACACATATTAGCCATGTGCCTCGCCCCTTTTACTTTCTTTGGAGGAAGAACACCCTGAGACCTTTTCCACCTTGTTCTCCCAGCATTCATGGTATCTACCCTACCCAATTTTTGCTGCTACTCATAAGGTTTTCAGTGACTAAATATTCGGAAGTAGTTTGTCACTCCTTCCTAGGCTGCCTTAGTCTGGAAGCTCATCTGAAACCTGTCCACCTTGGGTGATCCTGCTGGTGTTTAAAATACCCATGGCATAGCTTTCAGAATCACAGCAACTCACAAGCCACCACAATAGACAAACTTACAGACAAACTACAGATGAGTGGTGGATGCAACCTTGCTTGTTGAAAGTGAAGAGGCACTCACTCATCTATGCCAAGAAATTTGGAAGACAACTATCTGGCTGACTGATTAGAAGAGACACGTATCTGTGTCCATTCCAAAGAGAGGTGACCCAACGGAATGCGGAAATCACGGGACAGTATCTTTGATATTGTAAGTAAAGCAAATAACATTTTACTAAAGGTAAGGAGCTCTGGTAGCGTAGTGGTTACGAATCGGGCTGCGAACCTTAAGGCCAGCAGTTTAAAACTACCAGCTGCTCCGCGGGAGAAAGATGAGGCGTTCTGCTCCCGTAAAGATTTACAGCCTCGGAAACCCTGTACAAGGTCGCTATGGGTCGGAACCGACTCCACGGCACTTAGCAACAACAACAACAAAAGGTAATACAGAAATGGCTACAATCATACATTGACAGAGAACTTCCAGAGGTTCAAGCCAGATTCAGAAGAGGCCGTGGAGTGAGGGAATTCATTGCTGATGTCCGATGGATCTTGGCTGAAAGCAGAGAATATCCGAAAAATGTTTACCTGTGCTTTTATTTACTACACAAAGGCTTTTGATTGTGTGGATCATGACAAGCTATGGACAACACTGAGAAGTATTCCGGAACACTTAATTGTGCTCATGAGGAATCTGTACATAGACCAAGAAGCAGTTGTTTAAACAGAACATGGGAACACTGAATGGTTTAAAATTAAGAACAGTGTGCGACAGGGTTGTATTCTTTCACCATACTTATTCAACCTGTATGCTGAGCAAATAATTCAAGAAGCTGAATTATATGAAGAAAAACGTGGTATCAGGATTGGAGGGAGACTCATTAACAACCTGCAATATGCAGATGATACAACCTTGCTTGCTGAAAGTGAAGAGGACTTAAAATATTTACTGATGAAGATCAAAGAGCACAGACTTTGGTATGGATTACATCTCAATGTAAAGAAAACAAAAATCCTCACCACTGGACCAATAAACAACATTCTTATCAACGAAGAAAGGATTGAAGTTGTCAAGGATTTCATTCTTCTTGGATCAACTATCAACACTCATGGAAGCAGCATTCAAGAAATCAAATGATGTATTGCATGTATCATGTTTGGTAAGGTGGAGGGTCAGAGAAAAAGAGCAAGACTCCAGCAAGATGGACTGGCAAAGTGACAGCATCAATGGACTCAAGCGTGGCAACAATAGTGAGGTTAGCCCAGGACTGGGCAGTGTTTCGTTCTGCTGTGAATAATGTTGCTATGAGTCAGCACCTACTCAATGTCATCTAACAACAACAACTTCTGGGTAGATTTGAACCTGCAACCTTTCAGTTAGCATATGAGAGTAGGAGTATTAACTCACTGTACCACCCTGGGACTGATTAGTTTATGTAGTAAATTTGAACAAATCTATAAAAATTAGAATGCAGTTACAAAGTTAATCTACAAACACCAATTATATTTCTATATGTTCGCAATGAACAAATAGAAAATGAATTTTTAAAAATATACAATTTATTGTTATGACCAACTGTGACTGTTCCAACTGTAAAGGTTTGTAACAAAAACGGGGGAGTAGTTGATCTTACAGTACAGAAACAGAGGACCCTAGGACCATCAAGGGAGATTAGCACAAGTGAAATGTGGGACCTTATCCAGAGAAGCAGTGACACTAGCGATCCAGGCAGAGACGAGGACATGGAGAGAGGGAGCAGCTGAGGATCTGGACTCATGGAAAGAGAGGGACTGAGTGCTGGTGGCCAGGAATCAGGCTTGCAGAATGTGCCCTTTGGTTGCTTAAATTATTATATATTCTGGAGTGTTTCTGTATAATCCTCCTCCCAAGCAAAACAAAACAGAATGGATGCAAGATCTGTTGACTGATGATGCACAGGGGAGATTGTAATCATTGCAATGAAACGATGGTGTAAAGCTGATATTCTCCCATGTAAATTATCACTCATTTCACAATAAAAACGGAAAAAAAAGATACAATTTATAATAACATCAAGAAGTATCAAATGCTGATTCTAGCTAATGAAAGTTGTGTAAATCCTCTACAATGAAAGCTATAAAGCCTTATTGAGAGAATTTTTAAAGGAGTTAAATAAATAGAAGAATATACAATGCTCATGGATTAAAAGAAATAAATTTGTTAAGAAGTTGATTCTGCTCAAATTGGTCTAAAGATGGAATATTCCGCAACTAGACAAACTCTTAGCATGGATATTCATGGAGAGTGACAGGGCAATTTAAAAATTGATACATAAATGCAAAGAGCTAAGAATAGCAAAGGCAATCTTGAGAAAGAAGAGAATTGAATGAAATTTTGTTGGTAGGTGCTGTGGAGTCTGTTCCAACTCATAGTAACCCTACACACAACAGAATGAGAAATACTGCCAGGTCCTGAGGCAGCATCCTCACAATTTTTCTTGTTTGATTCCATTGCTGCTGCCACTGCATCAGTCCATCTCATTGGGGTCTTCTCTTTTCCACTGACCCTTCCTCTCCTTTATCAAGCATAACAACTTCAAAAGATTTTGACAACTTCAATCTTTTCTCCACTTATCATGATGCTATTTATTAGTTACTGTGATAGTTAAGGTTTTGTGTCAACTTAACTGGGCCCGGATTTTAATGGTTTGGCAGTTGAGGTATAGTTATTTCCTATGATGAGATCTAATAGAATGGAATCACCGCTACGATGAGCCGTCATTTGAAAGGAAGTTTCCTCTGGGATGTGGCCTGCTTCCAATAGATTGGACACTTAGGCAAAGCTTGCTGCGTTCTGTTGGGTCTGAATCTTACATCTGGCTCATTATATTGACTGGAGATAGTGGCCTGCTCTGTTACCTGCCAATCCTGGGCAACATAAACAGTTATCACATTACTTGCCCAAGCTTCTTAACTGCTAATTTTGCTTCATCTGACCCATGGACTTGGGACTTACCAACCTCTACAACTGTGTTAGCCATTTCCTTGATAATTGTCAATATATCTTGATTGTATATTTGATCAATTTCAGACTGAAGAAGTTGGTAGAATTCTTCACTTTCATCATCACCGGTTTTAGTGATTGGTGCATACATTTGAATAATAGTGGAATTAACTGATCTTTCATTATTCTATCACAGATAGCACTGTACTTCAGATAGATCTTGAAATGTTCTTTTTGAAGATGAAGCATCTCCTTCCTCTTCAATTTGTCTTTCCCAGTATAGGAAACCAAACTGTGTATGAGACCCTACAGTATAAGCATTGGACTAGTAACTTCACGAGTAATAGTTAAAACTCACCAGTAACTTTTTTTTTAAAGTTTTGATTGTGAATTAAGTGACAATTTACATGGGAGAACATCGGTTTTATGCTCAACGTTTCAATGCAATGATTAAAATCTGCTCTGTGCATCATCATGAAACAGTATTTGCTTCTATTCTCTCTGGGTTTTTTTGCGGGGAAGGGGATGTACACAAAAACACTCAGGAATATATAATCATTTTTACAACCAAAGGACACATTCTGCAAGCCTGACTTCTGGCTACCAGCACCTGGCTGCCTTTCTCTTTCTATGAGTCTCGA